AACCCGACAGTAGATGGAGGGGCTCAGTCAAGGAAGCAGAAGAAGAAGAGGAGGAGGAGATTGGATGTATACCCCACCCTTCACTCGGAGTCTCAGAGTTCCTTACAGTCTCCTTTCCCCACAACATGTTGACACCCTGTGAGGTATATGGGGCAGAGAGAGGTCTCCCAAGGACTACCCTTGAGAGAGCAGCTCTGAGAGAACTTGTGACTGAGCCAAGGTCGCACCAGCCGCTGCACGTGGAGGAGCGGGGAATCAAACCCGGTTCTCCCAGATTAAAGTCTGCGCTCCTAACCACTACACCAAACTGGAAGCCATGGCCCTCCACTTGAAAGCCCTGAGCAAGGCTGTTCACGATAGGATCTTTTTGAGGTCATTGATTCACAGGGTCGCCATAAATCCTGGCTTGATGGTATTTAACATGCGACAAAGAGGGACACGGAGGGAGAGCCGGTACATAGTCTCTTTCTCTGTCTCTCTCTGTCTCTCTGTGTCTGGTGAGGGGGTTAGATCTGCTCCCTCTGCTAAGGCTGCTGCTCGCCCGTTTGAGCATTGTGCAGCTATGATAAAAATGCCTGTGCGCTCTCATCCAGAGTCAGCCAACCCCGGGCATCCTGGGGACAGGGCTGAGACTCAGTGGCAGAGCCTCTGCTTGGCATACAGAAGGTCCCAGGTTCAATCCCCAGCATCTTCCGCTAAAAGGATCGTGTAGCAGGTGATGTGAAAGGCCTTGTTCCGAGACCCTGGAGAGCCGCTGCCAGTCTGAGTAGACAATACTGACCTTGGTTGGCTGATGGTCTGATTCAGTCTAAGAAAACCGAAAAAGAAGGGGGACCAGCATACATGAAATGGTAGAAGGCACAAAAAACCACGGGCAAAAGATCAACAAAAATGTCTAAAAATAATATTTAATGCCGAGTTCAATAATACAGTCATGTAACCATATAAGGCCAAGGTGTTCTTGCAAGAAACAACAGTAATATAGAAAAATAGAGTCCCCAAAATTTCAGTGTGTCTCACTCCTGTTGTATTGTAATTCCATAGTCCAACTTGACATACGTTCATCATAGAGTGGACTCATATAGTTCCTGGAACATCCAAACAATCTTGAAATCCATAAACCATAGAGACACGTAATCCAGATGCAAGCTGCTGCGTTTCGAATAATTCTTCTTCAAAACCAATAGGCTACAGTGGGACTAAATACAAATTTGACATGCACAAATGAGGATATGGAATAACAATACAATAGGAGTGGACTATGGAATTACAATGCAACAAGAGTAAGACAGACTGAAATTTTGGGGACTTTATTTTTCTATTTTTCTGTATTACTGTTGTTTCTTGCAAGAACACCTTGGCTTTCTATGGTTAGTAAAGGTAAAGGTTCCCTTGCTCGAAAGCCAGTCGAATCTGACTCTAGGGTTACGGTGCTCATCTCCGTTTCCAAGCCGAAGAGCCAGCGCTGTCCGAAGACATTTCCGTGGTCATGTGGCCGGCATGACTAAACACCAAGGCGCACCGAAGTGGTACCTATTTATCTACTTGCAATTTCTTGCTTTCGAACTGCTAGGTTGGCGGGAGCTGGAACTAGAAACGGGAGCTCACTCCGTCATGCGGCACTCGGGTCTCGAACTGCTGAACTACCGACCTTCCACATCCTGCAGTTCAGCGTCTTAACCACTTGAGCCACCGCAGCTCCTTTGTTTACATGACTGTATTATTGAACTCTGCATTAAATATTCTTTTTAGACATTTTTGTTTATCTTTAGCAAGCGGTTTTTTGTGCTTTGTACCTGATTCAGTATAAGGCAGCTTCACTGACCTTTAATTTTTCACCACTCAGGGAAGTGGGGAATGGGGAACAGTGGTGTAAGCAGTGGGATTGCTTTACCGTGGAGACGAGAGAGGAAAGTTAGTTGAAAGTGAGCCTTTTCGGGGGTAGGGAGAGGTCTGAGGCAGGGAAGTAAACTATTTAAGATAATCTCAGGTGGGTAGCCATGACGGTCTTAAGCAATAGAACAAAGACCAAGTCCTATGAGGAAAGGTTATAGGAGCTGGGTAGGTTTAGCCTAGAAAGGAGACGGCTGAGAGGTGACATGAAAACTATCTTCAAGTCCTTGAAGGGCTGTCATCCAGAGGATGGGGCGTAGTTGTTTTCTGTTGCCCCAGAAGGTCCGACCTGAACCAACGGGTTGAAGTTAAATCAGAAGTGTTTTCGGCTAAACATTAGGAAGAACTTCCTGACAGAGCGGTTCTCTGTGGAACAGGCTTCCTCAGGAGGTGGTGGGCTCTCTCCTTCTTTGGAGGTTTTAAGCAGAGGCTAGATGGCCACCTGTCAGAAATGCGGATTCTGTGAACTTGGTCAGATCACGAGAGGGAGGGCAGGAAGGGTTGCCTCAGGGCTTAGTTCTTGTGGCCCTTTCTTACACGCCCAGGGAAATGCCGATTACCACTTTGGGGTCAGGAAGCAATTGTTCTCCAGGCCAGTTTGGCAGGAGATCCTGGATGTTTTTTTATCATCTTCTGGGTGTGGAATAGCAGTCACTGGGTGTGTGTGTGGGGGGGAGGTTTTTGTGACTGTCCTGCATTGTGCAGGGGTTAGACTAGATGACCCTGGAAATCCCTTCCAACTCTATGATTCTGTGCTTCTAAAGATTCAGTGGAACCTTTAAGACCAACCAAGTTTAATTCTGGATATAAACTTTTGTGTGCATGCACATTTTGCCCAGAATAAACTTGGTTTATTCTTTCTTACAGAGCCAGTTTGGTGTAGTGGTTAAGTGCGCGGACTCTAATCTGGGAGAACCAGGTTTGATTCCCCACTCCTCCACTTGCACCTGCTGGATGACCTTGGGCAAGCCGCAGTTTTGATAAGAGCTGTTCTTGAAAAAGAGCAGTTTCTGTCAAGAACTCTCTCAGCCCCACCTGCCTCACAAGGTGTCTGTTGTGGGGAGGGGGAGGGAAAGGCGTTTGTAAGCCGCTCTGAGACACCTTCGGATAGTGAAGGGCGGGGTATAAATCCAATCTCTTCCTCTTCTTCCGCAGCTCAGAGGGAGCATTGCTTGTGAGCAAAACTTCTACTTTGTGAGTTAGTGGCATTAAAGTTGTGAGCAAGCAGTTTGGCTGCTGCATCAATTAGTTTGCTCTGGAGCCATCCTTCCTGAGCTCAGACAAAAATGTGTGAGCTGGAGGCTAAAAAACGGTGATCTAACGCACACTAATTCAGCTTAGAGGGAACACTGCTCCACCCATGCATTCACACACTCCCCCCTCCCCCAGTTCCCAGCCAGAATGAAACAAGGCAGTGAGCTTACAGATGCCAAAGACAGACAGTTAAGAAACATATGGCAAAACGAGGCCCGAGTTCGACACTTCCTTCCCAAAGGGGACTCAAACGTTGTCCTCTTTGCCTCCATTTTATCCTGGCAATGACCCCGTGAGGGAGGTTTTGCTGAGAGCATGAGACTGGCCCAAGCTGTGCCATGACGGAGCAGGGATTTGAATGTGGGTTTTTGGGTCCCCATTATAGAGAAAAGTGGGGCGTAGATAAAGTAAATAAATAAAGTAAATAAATAATTTTGACCAGTTGGGGAAGAAAAAAGACGGGGTCGTTTACCTTTAAGTGTTCCTGTGACGACCCCTTAACTGGGGAGGTCTGGTTTTACTTTAAAAGTGTTCCTTTTATTTTATTTTACTTTGGGTATCCGGCTGCCACCAGGAAATTTTATAAGGCTTTCCAAACCTTTTCCTATAATATTCCTATCACAGGGTAGGTGGATCGAGATTTTAGGCTTTCGAGGAACTATGTGTTTCCTGGGAAGAATTTCTTTAAGAACTGGTATCTTAAATAAAAGTAGATTTATTTGATATTTCACACATTTTTCCCTCTTACTGACAGGGATCTGGGCATGTCACTTTGTAACAATATTTTCCTTAGGCCACATACGGTTACTGTTTCTTTTTGTTTCAACTTTTCATTACGCACACAAGACTTCTCTCTCTCAGACCTTAAAACGAACAAACTGCTTAACTCTTTTACTACACAGACCCAAATTATCCCACACAGGGATGAGTCTCCTTCAACTCCTACATAGCTTAACTGACTTAACGACTGTCATCTCACTAACAGTCACTCCAGATAGACATTCCAATCATCCACACAGCATCCATTCCAAAACCCCTCCCCCTCTCTGTCACTCACCAATCATATTACTTGCCGGTTTCAAGCACTCTAGATTATCACACAGCCAAGCAAACCAAACTTTTAAAGACACACACACACACACAAATAAACATGAAATCGCCACAGTTCCAAACATTTCTAACTCCTGTTTTCAGATCCTTACAACTGCCCTGTAAAATAGGCCATATGGGGATAGCCAAGGCTAGCCCGATATCGTCAGTTCTTGGAAGCTAAGCAGGGTCGGCCCTGGCTAGTATTTGGATGGGCAACCTCCAAGGAATACCAGGGTCGTGACGCAGAGGCAGGCAATGGCAAACCACGTCTCTTGCCTTAAAAAGAAGTCTCACCACCTAGTGGAGCATAATGTTAAAAGAGCTAAAACTCGTGGTGCATAATGCTAACAGAGCTAAGACACACACACACACACACCCCAGCCCCAAAGGAAATGAAGAAAAGAGAAGACAGTGAGATTGGATTTATACCCTGCCCTTCACTACCCGAAGGAGTCTCGGAGCAGCTTACAGTCTCCCTTCCCTTCCCCTCCCCACAATAGACACCCTGTGAGGTAGGTGGGGCTGAGAGTGCTCTGACAGAAACTGCCCTTGAGAGAACAGCTCTGAGAGAACTTGTGACTGGCCCAAGGTCACACCAGCAGCTGCATATGGAGGAGTGGGGAATCAAACCTGGTTCTCCCATATTGGAGTCTGCGCACTTAGCCACCACACCAAACTGGCTCTCCGGGGAGGCTGCCCTCTATAGTGGGTCATCCTAACCTCTGTTTCCTTTCTCTTCCTCCTCCTCCTTCCCGCGCCAGAATCCGTTCCACCTGCGTCTGGAGAAGAGTGCCGACTTTGAAACCCTCCTGGACCTGCTGGCCGACGTCTTCCGCTCCAACCGTTGGCAGGAGGTCACGCTGATCCTCTGCCGGGCCTGGGACGCCTCGGCCTTCTTGGACCTCTGGACCAGCCGCGCCGACCTCGAGCGGACGGCCATGATCGACCTGAGCCCCCTGGAGGAGCCCGAGGCGGCGCGCCACCTCCGCCGGCACCTGGAAGAGTTCCGGGAGCTGCCCGGGCCGGCTGTGCTTTTCGGCTGCGATGCTCGGGCCTCCCGGCTGGTGTTCCGGACAGCCAAGGAGCTGGGGGTGACGCAGGAGTTCCACTGGGTGCTGGGCCTGCCCCAGGACGTGGATGAGCTGCAGACGGAGGGGCTGCCCCAGGGGCTGCTGGCCTACGGGGAAGCGGACAGGCCCTCCCTGGAGCAGTACGTCCAGGACGCGGTGGAGCTGGTGGCCCGCGCCGTCTCTCAGGCCGTCTACATCCGGCCCGACCTGGCCCTCATCCAGAGCATGGTGAACTGCAACGACAAGCACGCGGCCGGCATCGAATCCTCTGGACGCTACCTTTCCCAGTAAGTGTAGTGACTCTGTGTTCTGGTGCCGGGGGCGGGGGGGGATTGCTTCCTGCTCCAAAGCCGCAAGCCCTAAACGGGGACTCAGAAAGAGATGCGCTGGGCAAGCCACTCTGCGGGGGAGGGGGCCGATCGTTCTGCTGCATCAAGGGAGTGACTGAATGAATGAATGGCAGCTGGTGCTGATTGGTAGCAGGATTTTAAGTGCCCCTCAGCAGGCTGATGGGGAGAAGGAGGGCACAGAACAGTGACTCTCACAGGGTTGCAACAGGAAGCCGCCTCTGATTTTTTTTCTTGCTCCATATCTGCATCGGTTGCAATTGGCTCAGTCAGCCACTCCCACGACAAAGAAGACAGTGAAACGGCACATCCTTAGAGCGAGCAGGTGATTGTGGGATTCTCCCAGAGTAGAACTCAGACAGAGATGCCCTGGGCAGCTTCTCTGCAGGGAGGGGCAGATCATCCTTCTGCATCCAGGGGGTGACTGACTGAATGAATGGCACCTGATGCTGATTGGTAGCAGGATTTAAGGGCGCCTCGGGAGGCTGATGAGAAGGCGGGCCCAGAACAGTGCCTCTCACAGGGTTGCAACAGGAAGCCGCCTCTGATTTTTTTTTTCTCGCTCCATATCTGCATCGGTTGCAATTGGCTCTATCAGCCACTCGCATTACAAAGAAGACAGTGAAACCGCACATCCTTAGAGCGAGCAGGTGGTTGTGGGATTCTCCCAGAGTAGGAACTCTGACAGAGGATAAGCAGAAGCCACCGCGGTGGGGGAATTCATTAGGCTCTCGGTTAGCTGCAAACGAATTAATTTAATTAACTTCCCGTGGTGCGTGAGTGGTCCCCCAGTGCGCCGCTCGAGCACAGTTGCATTTCCACCCTCGTGTTTCTCGTACGTTTGCCGAAGTTCGCCTCGAGGATCATGAGTGACTCCTTTGCAAGAGGTCATTAAAACCCTGGCGCAGGTCAGGATTAAGTGTAATTGGCTGGAAATGAGGGCTGGTCCCCGGAGCCAGAAGAACAGCGGGGGGACACCGTTTGAATCCCGCCTTTCATTGTTTTAGGATTAACTAGACGAGCATTGTTGAGGCACAGACACAGGCTGCCTGCCTGGACACGCTTGCATCTTGATTGGTTTCGACTGGCAGTTTCCAATCTTATAGGCGTGGTGACCCACAAGTCCAAATTGAGTTGGTATGGGGAACCTTCCTGGGACACAGAGACAGGCATATGTCAAAGCCACCTCTCTGAAAAGTCCTAGGCCTACTAGGGGTCACTAGGAGCCACCATGACTTCCAGCCACGCAAGCACACACACACACACACACACACAACATCCCCACCCCCCCCCCCCCCAGCTGGACCAAGGTGTTTTGGTAAGAACATCAGAAGAGCCAGTGATCCTTCTAGTCCAGCATCCCATCTCACACAGTGGCCAACCAGTTCCTCTGGAGGGCCAACAGCAGGGCAAAAAGGCTGAGGCCTTCATAAGATGAGCCCTGCTGGATCAGACCAGTGGTCCATCTAGTCCAGCATCCTATCTCACACAGAGGCCAACCAATTCCTCTGAATGGCCAACAACAGGGCATAGAGGCCGAGGCCTTCATAAGAACATCAGAAGAGCCCTGCTGGATCAGACCAGTGGTCCATCTAGTCCAGCATCCTATCTCACACAGAGGCCAACCAATTCCTCTGAATGGCCAACAACAGGGCATAGAGGCCGAGGCCTTCATAAGAACATCAGAAGAGCCCTGCTGGATCAGACCAGTGGTCCATCTAGTCCAGCATCCTATCTCACACAGTGGCCAACCAGTTCCTCTGGAGGGCCAACAACAGGGCAGAGAGGCCGAGGCCTTCCCTCGAGGTTGCCTCCTGGCTCTGGGACTCAGAGGTTGACTGCCTCTGAATGTGGAGGTCCCCCTCAGTCACCACGGCTAGTGGCCATGGATAGACTTACCCTCCTCTAATCTTTTCTAATCCCCTTTGAAAGCTGTTTCTTCCTGTGGCCATCGCTACATCCTCTGGCAGCAGATTCCACACTTCAATCCCTCTCTGTGTAAAGGAGTATTTTCTGTGTCCGTCCTGAACCCACTGCCCATCAGCTTCATTGGATGCCCTCGAGTTGTAGAATTTTGGGAGAGGGAGAAAAATCAGACCATCAAAACACGTTTTACTTGACCTACACGTATATGCAGTGAAGAAGAGAAAAAAATACCACCTAATGCATGACATGGAAGAAACGGTTTCCAGGGTGAGATCTTGGTTTCCAAAATACAAAAGAGAGCAGGCTTAAGACTAGCGGTTCTATTCCTTTGGATGGAAGAAGATTGGGCGACAGTGAACGTCTAAGAAGATATCAAGAATTTAGAGAGTTTTAGTATAGATGTAAAGGCGGAAGGACTTTGCAGATTGCTTTTATGAAGCGAGCTGGAGGAGATGCTCGGGAAATCTTCTCATAACAAGTAACAATCTAATATATAAGCTTAGAAAGGCAGGATCTCACAAAGTATATTGTTTATTAACAGCCTTTTCTTTTACTAACAGCATTTTAACAGGGAATGATCTCCTAACCTTGGGTTTTTAGCTTAGTGTGGGTTATCTTTTCTTTCTCCCTTAATTGTAGTCCCCCTATCCCCAATTTTTCTTGGTAGTTTATGTAGTATTATAAAATAAAAATTAAAAATCCCCTCCGGGGGCTTAAAAAAATACAAAAGGGAGCAATGGAAGGGATGGGGTGATCATTAGGGAAAGCTGGCTTTACGACTCATTTTTGGGTCCTGACCCACATGGTTGGGAAATACTCGTTTAGATGGTTCAAGTGCTGGATGCTTTTAAAAGGGGGTTGAGTGTGTTAGGAGGTAGACCTCTCTGCATCTGTTAACGATGGTGGCTGGCTGGCAGGACCTTCTGTGGTATGCAGGAAGCCCACCTGTGTATACCTTAGATGGAATTGGCTGAATTATTTTACTGGCATTTAAGGTTGCAGCCAGTGTTCCCTCTAAGTTGAGTTAGTGTGAGCTAGCTCAGTTTTTTAGCCTCCGGCTCACACATTTTTGTCTTAGCTGAGGAAGGATGGCTCCAGAGCAAACTGATTGATGCAGCAACCAAATCGCTCGTTCACAGCTTTAATGCCAGGAGCCCACAAAGTAGATTTTTTGCTCACAAGACTCCACAGCTTAGAGGGAGCATCGATTGTGGCCATTGTCACATCTTGTGGCACTGAGTTCCATAAGACAATTCTGGCTTTGTTTTCTGTTTGTGAAGAAGTACTTTTCTTCTGGCCATCTTGAATCTGCTTCCCGTCAGGGTGACCCCAAGTTCTAGTATCATGAGAGATGTATAAAAACAAATTCTCTATCCCCGTTCTTCATCCTGTGCAGAATTGCAGAAACATCTATTGTGTCCTCTACCCTAAAATCACGTTTTTGTCTTAACTGCAAAGCCCCAGCCGCAGAGCCTTGGAGGCACGGGGCCACCTCTCTCTCTCTTGTGGCGGTGAGTTCCACAAGCCAACGGCACAACTGTGAGAATTTTCTAGCCCGTTTCCCTGTCTCTGCTTCTAGGTTCTTGGCCAACACGTCCTTCCGAGGCCAGACGGGCCAGGTCTTTGTTCGTAAGATGTCTCGCATCCACACCGAGCGCCGATACAAGATCTGGAGCCTGTTGCGGGATTCGGTGGGCCAGCCCACGTGGGTGACGGTGGGCAGCTGGCAGGGGGGCGAGATGGAGGCCGAGGAGGGCACCTGGCCGCAGCACCTGCAGCGCAAGCACCAGGCAGAGGGCACGGGGTTCTCCCGCATGAAGCTGCGGGTGGTGACCTTGGTGGAGCACCCGTTCGTCTTCACCCGGGAGGTATGCCGGCTCTGCTCCTGCCCTGAACTCCTCTAAAGCTACCGCCGTGCAGCCGCTGAGTTGCGCACGGTCTGCAGCTGATGTGTTGATGCATCTCCCAGACGCTCCCAGAGCCAGTTTGGTGTGGTGGTTGGGAGTGCGGACTCTAATCTGGGAGAACCGGGTTGGATTCCCCACTCCTCCACATGCAGCTGCCGGTGTGACCTTGGGTCAGTCACAAGTGCTCTCAGAACTGTTCTCTCAAGGACAGTTTCTGTCAGAGCTCTCTCAGCCCCACCGACCTCACAGGGTGTCTGTTGTGGGGAGGGGAAGGGAAAGGAGATTTTAAGCCGCTCTGAGACTAAGGGCGGGGTATAAATCGAATTGCTACCTCTTCTTCCTCCTCCTCCTCCTCTCATGTGCGATTCCTCACTTTCCCCGTTTTATTCCCTGCAACAGTGTTGTTATGCAGGCTGTGCTAAAAGAGAGGGATTGGTCCACGTTCCCTCAGCTCTGGGGCAGGGCCAGAATTTGAACTCAGGTCCTGTTCCTCTGCCGTGCCGTGCCGACTCTCATACATTCCTCTGCGCACTCGTGTACGCAGGTTAACGTGAGGGGCTCCTTTCCTGGTAAGAACCAGCCCAATTCCTGAGATCCTCCTTGCGGGTTCTTTCCCGAGCTCCCATCAGCTGAGGGGAGGCAGTTGACAACCAAATACGGGGCTTTTGGGTTGTGGCTCCACGGACTCCCCTACCAGTATTGCCTGTCACCTTCTTTGCCCGTGCCACCCCCATATCCAGTGGCAGGGAGTTCCACAAGGTGTCACCTGCAATGACATACTTTCTTATGTCCAGGGCTATTTTTGGGCAGG